CCGAATACCCGGGGGAGGGGGCGTTGTTTATTGAACCTAGTGTGGTATCATAGCATGAACAAAAAATGCGAGCTTTTAGCGGGCAGGAAGCTACTAATGGGGAATGGTTCATTTCTGCGGGATACGAAGGGCTCTGCTGCGTGAACCTTTTCCAAATAACACGTAGGTGATGACTCGGGACTGGTGGGGGGGGTTGCAGAGAGTGTTTTCCGCGCATGCATGAAGATGACCAAAGCTACTGCACGCCTGCCTTAAAACATGGTGGGTGGTCCTGGTAGGCAGCTGCATACGGGATCTCTAGGAAATACGGAATTCGAGTAGGGATTGGGGCCGAGACTGACTAAAACGCTATACGGAACCTGTCCTGGCTGCGGAGGTCCTGAACTAGGGGCTGTTGGTGGTTCTCCCACGGTGTGAAGTAGGGTGCGAAAATTGAGTAATATATGGTCTGTCCTAAACACCGGGCACCAAAGTTACAGGTGGATGTGAAGGGTTTCATACTTCAATTAGGTTTTATCTAAGGTTAGAAGGAACGAGTTTCGGAGCAGTTAACCCCCAAATCCTACCAATTGGATAGACAAACACTTTTGCTGGGAAAACAGGCTTCCCAATCGCTCCCGGATATATAATATGATATATCCCAAAATCACTACCAACGGGCTCAGGGGCGATCATGCCGATCACCCATATCCCGGGCTAAAGGAGCCTCCGGTCTCGCAATCCATCCGGTCACCTTCCACCTCTCAGATAATCTTCCGGTATTCCTCTAATGCATAACAAGTGACGATAGAACTCCATGGGGTCCCCCATCATTCACCTCCCCCAACATGTGGGCCCCCGGAGGTGCCACAGTAGTCCCTTTGTCTTCATGAGCGCCGGGCCATATGCAGCACAACACCATCTTTCAAAACTCTTCAGGACCTATGCTGGAACCAACGCCGTCCTCCATGGCATTGAGATCGAGTCCCCATAACCCCGAGTCTGGAGTCAGGGCCTCAGTATCAATACCACTCAGCATTCTGGGTGGTACTGAATTCTGTCTGGATGTCAATTGTCGCCCTAGCACCCTCGCAATACCGGTGAATGTGGGAAGCACACTGCGCAGACTCACTACCCAACTTGGATTCACAAAGGAAAGACAAATACGAAGTCAGATATCCGGAATGCAACTCGCAGAACCAATCTCCACTATGGAGTGACTCGTCCCGCATGATGGTCACTTTATAGGCCGGGAGGGGGCTTGAGTTGGCGGTACTTGCGTTACCAACGACAGGATGTGGTCCGACAGGACATATTCTTGTTTCGGGGGTGGGTAAGCCTTGTGTACTGCGGGAGGTCTCCCGGTGAGAAAACAGTAATGGCTGAGGATGAGGCGTTTAGACAGGCTTGCCTGCAGATTATACCTCATATTCGGGAAAACGGCCAAATACACGAGGATGACTATTGGGAGATTTTTAAGAAGGTTGACCTCCACACCAAGCTGATTACTGTGGGGATATTTACAGACATGCCCCTCCAAAGAATGGTGAGCTTTGAGTCCCGGCTAACGGAGATAGCCGCAAGAGAATTTGCTGGGGAAATTCGGACGGGGGCTGGGGTGAAGGGTGTGGTTAGTAGGTTTGGGTCTGGAAAAATAAGCTCACCCGATGCATCACCTCCTAGAAACTCTCAGAACCCCCCCCCCCCCAAATGACCATATTCGCACTCCATACTCGTGACTTGCGATCACTTTAAATCGCTGACCCGCATAGCGCCCGGAATCCCAAGAATGACACCCCAAGAGCAAACGACACAGCTATCCGGGTATTGTAAATCACCTGTACTCCCTGTAACTACCTTGCTCTCCCAGTTCCATCGGATGGTCCGGAGACCTTTCCGTAGGTGTTTAAGGATTGGTAAAGCTTAGAAGTGAGTTGGTAAGCATGATTTAAGGTTCTAGAGGTTATTTCATATTAATGTATTCAAGATTGATATTGCAGGGCAAGGGAGTGGAAGGAGCGAGGGAGCAGATGGACGGTAATTGGTTAAGAAAGTGGGGTAGCCCAAAGTTGGTAGAATCTTGAAGAAACTCAACAGAGGGGTAGAAGCAGAAAAGGCGGGGTATGACAATGATAAAGGAGGGTGGTCTAAAAGGCAGAAATCATCCCACGAGTGTATATAAAGGCGGGTGTTCCTTAGGTGAAAGGTAGGGGCCAGAGGTGCAGAAAAGACAGTTATCCGGGGGGGGTCGGGATCAGGTTACCGCCCCCGGTTAAGAGAAAAAAGCTTCCTGTGTGCAGAAGTGGCTACCTTTGATCATGATTTACAAAACCAGGTACGATACCTCATGGGTTGAAGCTCAATTCGTCTCCCTTCTCCGGCGGACTCTGCCATCTCGTTGCTCCCCCCCGTCCT